CCAAGACCCTTCTCTTCTGGGCGCTTCCCTTTTCCTTTTCCCGGACCCTTCTCTTCGGAGTCCTTCCCTTCTCCTTTTTCCTTTCCCTTTCCCTTCTCTTGGAGGTCCTTCCCTTCTCCTTTTCCTTTTCCCTTCTCTTCCGGGTCCTTTCCTTCTCCTTTTCCCTTTCCCTTCTCTTCAGGGTCCTTTCCTTCTCCTTTTCCCTTTCCCTTCTCTTCAGGGTCCTTTCCTTCTCCTTTTCCCTTTCCCTTCTCTTCAGGGTCCTTTCCTTTTCCTTTTCCCTTCGCCGCGGACTTCGCCGGGAGCTTGTCCATGGCGACCGCAACGAAGCAGCTGTGCCGCTGCTGAGGTTTCAGGAACTTGCCTGCATGTTCTATATATGCCATGGGCTTGCACATGTGTCTGTCTGCAGTGCGTCTGGCTTCGTGTGTGTCTGTCTGCTGTGTCATGCGTGCTGCTATGCCCATGCAGTGCATGCAGGGGCGAAGCCTCCTGCACAAGATGCACGGGGCGATGCCTCCATGCATTCATTTAGAGCCACGTTCACAGCGGATTTGGAGTTCGGGTTTGAGGTTAAGACGGCTTGGGGTTTGGGGTCAAGGGCCCGGTTTCGGGTAGCATCGTTTGGTTCTTGGGCTGGCAGATTTTGGCATTCAGCTGGCATGTTTTTGCAACTTACAAGTGTCAAATTTTCGACTTCAGGTATGCGTTTTTTTGAGTTTGGGTGAATTAATTTTCGACTTGAGGCTAATTTTTTTTAGGTTTGAGGGAGTTCAATTTTCGACTTCAGGCGACGTTTTTTTTTGGTTTTGGTGCGGTTAAATTCTCGACTTGAGGCTCGTTGTTTTTTTGTTTTGGGGGGGTTGGATTTCGGACTTCAGGCGACGTTTTTTTTGGTTTGGGCGGTTCAATTTTTGGCCCACGGATACAATTTTCGGGAAATAGCGTTGCGGGGGCGTCGGAGTTATAACTCCCAGCGAGTGGACTTACGGCGGACTTATAACTCCCACTTATAACTACTTAGCGAGGACTTGACTGGGACTTATAAGTGGAGCCTTAACTCCTTCAATTAGTTATAAGGCAAATATAACTCTGTATGGACTTACAACTCACTTGCTATGTCAATACACTACTTATAAATGGCCTTGCATGATTTATAATTGCACATGACCGACATATAACTCGACATATAAGTACGGAACAGCAAAACCCACCAAAGTTGAAGCACAAGGCTGAGAAGGCTTGCTGACAGCTTGTAGCTGGGCTGAGTTGCAAAGTTGGAGCTTTTGACTTTCTCGAAAAGCATCGTTGTTCACACGATGCACCGTAGCCTTTGGGTGCCGATTGGGAAACTGAACCCGAAAGGGCGTGTGCGTGTGTCATCCCTGTAACACAGGGCTAAGTAACAATGCAGGGGCATGCGGCGCTCATGTCCAACCACATGCAACGAAGCTGTGGACATGAGTGGAAGCGAGAATTCACTCTCGTGTACCTGCAGAGAGTTGCTCATGGGTCACACTCCTTCAGAATCTATCAGTGATTGCACCAATGTTGTGGTCAGTTTGCACATGACAGTCAATTCTGCCTTGTGTTTACTTTTGATCCTGGAAGTAAATCCAGGCAGTCAACAAAGCAGCGGATCAGTAAATCTAGACATAGGCTACAGAGGCCAAAAGAGAAAATGAGAAGGAAAAACGGCCACATTCCTGACGCACATTTAGACCAAGAGCTCTACAGCAAGTGTGGTACAGCATGGCTTTCCCTCGTTGGCGCCAGCTGGGTGGAAGGTTGCCTCCACGAAACTGACTTCACATGCTTTGTCCGAAGCTCGTGACTTCGCTGACTCTGGAGCAGCGGGAAGATTGTGAAGATTGAAATTATTGTTGACAGTTTTGTTGAGTCTGCTTTGCTACGCTTCTTTTTCTTGGTTGAGTGCTCGCTCGTCCGTGTCAAAGTATAACAGTCTCCCACAGTCACGTTTTAGGCTCTCTTCCACGCTGAAACTTGTGCAGCATGCGTTGAGGCAATCGCGGTAGAGGCAAAAACTCGTGAGTTGGCCTTTCCCCCATCATTGGGTGTGTGGGTCATCCCTGTCACAAAGGGCTAAGTAACAATGGAGGGGCATGCGGCGCTCATGTCCTACCACATGCAACGAAGCTGTGGACATGAGTGGGAAGCGAGAATTCACCCACGTGTACCTGCAGGGAGTTGCTCATGGGTCACGTATGTGGCAGATTGGGGACTCCTTAAGAATCTTTCAGTGAATGCGCCCGGTCAGTTTGCACATGACAGTCATTTACGTGTCAATTCTGCCTTGTGTTTACTTTTGATCCTGGAGAGTAAGTCCAGACAGTCAAGAAAGCAGCAGATCAGCAAATCTAGACATAGGTTACAGAGGACAAAAGAGAAAATGAGAAGGAGAAACAGCCATATTCCCGACTCACATTTAGACCCAGAGGTCCACAACAAGCGTGTGCGTGTGCGTGTGTGCGTGTGTTTGTGTGCGGGCAGCGTGTTCTCCGTGCATGCTGTCAGATGTATTCAGTTTCACACACACACACACACAGAAATGCACACCGGTGTCTAGGCCGTGACAAGATCCCCACTAATACACAAAGCAGCCCGAGATCGTTTTTTGCCAGGGAATGGAACTACCAATCTCGGTCTATGACCCCCCTTGGGCGCTATGAGCGGGCTGGCAATAGCTGCGGGACTGTTCAGTCCTTCAAGTGTACACAGAAAGATTATTATTGTTAAGCCGCCACCTCCCCATCCAACCTCCAAATTACAATCGTTTGAAAAACGAAGCCACTGGCGGAGCGGTGACCTTCCAGGCCATACCGATCCTGAAGATTGGGGTCATGCCCCATGCCTTCATACATAAGGTTTTGGCTTCAGTGGAATGCAAAAACTCATTGGCGTGTTTCGCCAAACAAGCAGCTTCCCACACAAAATGATACGGAATGACCATCCACAGAACACGAGAGTGTTCTGAGTCAGCCTCCTGTTCATGAGCACACTCCGCCCATCTCAGATTTCGTATGGGGGGAATGTACTCACACAAAGCTTTGATGAGGGTCGACGGCCCAAAATTGTCATGTAACCTACTGATAAACGCATGTTTCGCTTTCGAGAAACTGCTTTTTTTCCACTCAAACTGTGCAACCTCTTAATTTGGGAAAAAGGCCAGCTTGCATGCACGTGCCATGGATGTGAACTGGCCGTGCTGAGTGGCACTCCGAGTGAAGTTGGCTTGAAGTGAGGTTGAAAGCCTACTCTGTATCTGCATCGGCCATCAGCTGTAACAGACTTTGTGATCGCCAAGTTCAAGTCGAGCACAGTCAGTTGGGACCTGCTAATAGCCTCCACAACGAGCTTTCTCTCTCCACCTCTCCATAAACTCACAGAATGCCATGTGCAAGCCATCCCGAAGAATCATAAAGACATCATCTCTAAAGCGCACATACAGGAGAATTCCGGCTTGGTCTTTGAGGCCTTGGTTGTGAACGAACCACGCCTCGGCCATGGAAAAGAACGCTGCATCACACAGATCCCCCGAGAAGTTGAGCCCCATACCAGCACCAACAAGTACCCGCCATACTTGGTCAGTGAAAAGATGGGAACGTACATACTGGTGATTCAAGAGGAATCCGATGACATCCTTACCAACTTGCTGAAACGGTTGCGCCATCATACTTGCTCCATGTTCGGTCAAAGTGGCCGGGGTACCAGACATGAAATAGTCTTTAATATCAACCTTGACAAGTTTGATGGGGACCTCACTCTCAAACGACCTCAGTTTTGCGATGAGCTCGTCAGTGTTTCGTAAAAGATGTGGAAGTCCTGAAAGCTGGTTTCTCAAGCGATGCATAAGCCATGCGCCCAAACCCGTAAAAAAATATGGACCCCCAGCGTGTATGTTGCGAAAAGATACTTCTCCTGCAGGTTTGTGGGACTTCACGGTGACATCCAGTTTCCTCACCAGACCGTCTTCATTCCCATACCTGACCGAAGAAGTGATGAGTGATACCATGGAAGACTGCTGTTCCACTCTTGCAATCTTATGTGCAAGTAATACATACTGCTCCGCCACACACTTCCACGGTGGCAGAAATTCCATAGGGAACTCTTCATACCACGACTTCTGTAGGATATCACGGTGAGCATCACGAAGACACCCACGGGGCACGAGACAATACCCACCATCCTTATCAGTCGGGATGATCGCATAATATGAATTTCGTAGCCAACCCACTGAAAAACTGTCCAAAGCTGTACGATTGGACCACCTCCTCGGGTTGTGCATGTGTCTTGAAAGGGCTCTGGTGCAAGCTCGACGCATATGAGATTGGAAAAAGCTCGTCCAGCAACGAAGTTCAGGGGCAATGTTGAAATCACATGGCGGTCCCGCTCTGGTGGAGGGGACCTTGAACGGTCTCGCCGAATCACTGTGTCTAAAAAGCCATCGCCACTGAAGCTTGTTGCAGAAATCACTCACATACGTCATGACCGCCTCCAGTCTCGGACGTGTAGCCCTCGAAACACGATGTTTGCGGTGATACTTGCCTAACAACAAACCCACATCCCACGGGATTGTGTCAGCATCTGGTAAAAATACACTGCGCGAATCCGGATCAAACACATATACATACTGCCGGTACCTTTCCGCATGAAGCACCCTGAGCCACTCTTGATGACTGGCTCCCCTCATGAGTGCCATGAATTCCGCCACGACCGGGTCCGGATGCATCATTGTCTTGTGGGCCTTCCTCCAGTTCTTCCTCCTTTGCTTCTTTTGGGCTTGTCTGCGGTTGCTCCCACATTGTGAAAAACTGGCTGCTGCTGCCACTGCGGGTGATGCTGCTTACCATGCTGCGGAGTCTGTTGATAATGCTTTCCTTTGCCCTTGCCTTTGGGTTCTCCTTTCTGTGAAGGTTTGCCATCTCCTTTGGATTTACCCTTTCCTTTGGCGGGGACCTCATGTCCTTTGCCCTTGCCTTTCAAGGCATCCTGTCCTTTGCCTTTGCCTTGTGGGCATGCTCCTTAGTGTTGTGCATTCCTTTTGCTTTGGCCTGTGTCCTTTGAGCCAGCTCAGACTTAGTGAATCTTCGCTTGGGTGGGGCTTCCTTAGTCCAGTCAATGTGGTTGATGGGATTCTCATTCGAAGCCAAAGCCTGCGCGTAATCAACCCGCGGATCCACCATTTGCTTGGACATGTCCATCATAGCTTGCTTCACTGCCGACTCAAAGAGGTTCTTGGGGTCCTTAGCACGAATAGCATCACGGAGCTGCTCCTTCTCCTTGGCGGTCTTGGCTGCAAGTTTGTCCTGCTCAACCTTTTTCGCGGCTGCTTTGTTGACCATGGCCAAATAGAGTTCAAGGGCCTTCTCCTTGCTCACATTCGGGTTGGAGCTCAATCCAGGTGGTAGTGTCAAACCAAGCTGGTTTAATGCCTGTACTTGGACATCCTCCGGCTGCGATGCTACCTCCATGAAATGATCAAAGGTCGTGGATGCTTGCAAGGTGGACACATACTCCTTGGTCACTTCCAGGTCAACCTTCTTGTAGAACGCGGCTGTTTGTAAATGAATGATGCTTAATGCTTGCTTCCTCGTAGAACCTTTGGGTATCACAATATTCACATGAGCATCTTGATGTCTGCTGTCGGCAAACGGAGAGTCCAATTCAGCCTCAGTCCCTGGGCTAAAAGGTCTAACCCCTGCCGGGTATTGTCCCGAAGACAGTGTGCTGAGATCTGATGTTTGCTTCTGTTCTCGTAATCGGGCTCGTTGTAGCTTCTCAATCTTGTCTGAGAACTCGCGGATTATCTTTGTCCGAAGCTCGTGACTTCGCTGACTCTGGAGCAGCGGGAAGATTGTGAAGATTGAAATTATTGTTGACAGTTTTGTTGAGTCTGCTTTGCTACGCTTCTTTTTCTTGGTTGAGTGCTCGCTCGTCCGTGTCAAAGTATAACAGTCTCCCACAGTCACGTTTTAGGCTCTCTTCCACGCTGAAACTTGTGCAGCATGCGTTGAGGCAATCGCGGTAGAGGCAAAAACTCGTGAGTTGGCCTTTCCCCCATCATTGGGTGTGTGGGTCATCCCTGTCACAAAGGGCTAAGTAACAATGGAGGGGCATGCGGCGCTCATGTCCTACCACATGCAACGAAGCTGTGGACATGAGTGGGAAGCGAGAATTCACCCACGTGTACCTGCAGGGAATTGCTCATGGGTCACGTATGTGGCAGATTGGGGACTCCTTAAGAATCTTTCAGTGAATGCACCCGGTCAGTTTGCACATGACAGTCATTTACGTGTCAATTCTGCCTTGTGTTTACTTTTGATCCTGGAGAGTAAGTCCAGACAGTCAAGAAAGCAGCAGATCAGCAAATCTAGACATAGGTTACAGAGGACAAAAGAGAAAATTAGAAGGAGAAACAGCCATATTCCCGACTCACATTTAGACCCAGAGGTCTACAACAAGCGTGTGCGTGTGTGTGTGCGCGTGTGTTTGTGTGCGGGCAGCGTGTTCTCCGTGCATGCTGTCAGACGTATTCAGTTTCTGCATCAAGGGTGCCAGGACCAGGATAAGTAATTTCAGTGCAAATATGGCTGCCGAGGCACCACTCTCCCATCGCCTGTATGCCGCGGTCACCGGCTCCACCCTGAAGGTACTTGAAGAAGTCCTGGCAGATCATAAGGGTTCGGGGTGTAGGAGGCTCGACGATGCTTTGTGGTGTAGAAGCTCATCCGAGACAAATGTGAGATTCATCTTGAGATTTCAATGTCCAGTGTCTTTGGTCCCCTAAGGTCCCTAGCAAGAAACTGCTTCGCTGCCTCTGCATTTCTTGCCTGAGCTTCTCGCTGCTCCTGCCGTGCGAGTCAAATTTGTCGCGATCATGCTGAGTCGAGTCGAGTTCAGCCCGTGACGCTGCTAACAGGCAGGCGGTCCTTTAGTGAAAGCTTCGGAAGAGCTCCCGAAGAGCACTTCGGACAGGTGCCATCCGGCGGCACGCAGTAAGCGTGATACCTTGATGCACGCTTTCAGCTTTGGTCTTTGCCCTTACTTCTGACCCAGCGTGTGCCAGTTTCTCCGAAGAAAGAAGGCATCTCGAACAAGTTCAGGTTCAGGTCCAAAAACTGCCAGTACGAGCTGATGCGGAACTATGGGATGATGCGCCGGCCAAGGCTCGAATGACCACAGAAGAAGTGCACAGCAGGGACTTCCAACGTCAAACCACACCTCGGCTGACGACTCGGCATGTTGCAACTTTCAAGGCGCAGCAGCTTCGGAGTAATCCCACAAGGAAATCACACGACCTCCTTTCGAGGGCTCATGGCAGAGTGTCTGCTCCTGATGACAGCTGATGACTCGGTCTCTGGATCTCATGCCGTCGATGAAGTGTCGCATCTTTTAAGGAGCCCCTGGCAACCAGAGTGTCAGACAACTCACGCCGTGTTCATAGGCAGTGCAGATCGGCCGACGTCAGGGCCAAGATCATTATATTCGACTTTGCTTCTCCAAGGCTGCCACGCGTGGCATCTTGGATAGAGTCGGAGCTGATCGTACGTACGGCATCCGACCGCTCCAACTCGACTACTTGGTTGAGCCATACTTGCGGGTGGGGCCTTGTTGAAGGCTTTATCTAGATCCAGGCCTGTCTATCTTGACCTATCTATCTGTGCATAGACAGTGTCTACATAGATAGCTAGAGAACACAATGTAAATGAGCCAACACAGACATTTGTTTATGTACATATTGCTTCGTCATATGCTGATAAATCTAAACATACATGTATGTGTGTGCATATGTAAAGCAAGATGTTCTGGTGTGTGTGTGTGTGTGGAGACCTTTCAGGAAACTCTGACACCGGTATAGGCATACTGATAGCGGGCTCTTCAGCCAGGCTTGAATAATTCAAGAGTGCTGTGAAGGGCGAGATTATGCAAAGGCGACCCCAAATCTCCGGCAGGAAGTCTCGACCTTACATATGGTACCGGTAATTCAGCCACAGACCCAAGCAAGCCCATTCAGAAAGCTAGGCATTACCATCAGAAGAGGAATCTTCAGTCTTCATATTCTGAATATAGCAACAACCTTTCGAGAAGCCTTTCTTAACAGTGCCTGTGACGCGATTAGACGATTGGCTGCCTATGGCTGCCTCTAGGAACGTGCTTAGATTGCTTTGGAGGGTTGACACATCGTCTTCAACGCTGGCTGATGGGTTGCTACTTCCAAACCCTGTGATGCTACTAAAACGAAACCACACAGAATCATGCCAGCGCTTTCCAAGAGTCTGGAAGCATCGAGTGTTCTGAAATTCTTTGGCCTCCATGGCAGCTGAAAAGGGGCCAAGGGTCTACTGCACGCTGCCAGGCGTGATCATGCGTCAGCTAACTGCATGGGTTTCACAAGCCGCCCCTGTCCTGCGTCCGGAGCTGGATGATCTCCTGCTGCATGCGAGCAATCTCCTGACGATCCTGAGGCTAGGCCAGGCAGGATGGACTGCACCTTTTGCAGTCGGAAGGGGCAAGTCAGGGCAAAATGCTCCTGAGTCGATTTAGCCCGGGAGGTCTCCGCAGACTCGACCAGCCGACGATACTGGGCCTTTGGCGCTGTGCACTATCTTGAGCTGAACAGGCATGCTGATCTTTGCAGAATGACTTTCCGCAGGAAGCCGCCTGCAAGTACGGACGGACGTCACCGATGGTCACCTGTAGCAGGCGGATGGTGCACCGAGGCAAAGATTATGTTGTCCAGGGGCTTTGGGAAGAGCTGCTTCCTGACAGGCCTTGATAATATTATACTAAGCATGACATTGGGATGCACAGCTGTCCTCGTTGCTTGAGCGGAGGGTCTCGATGACGAGCAGAAGCGGCATGAGATCACTGTCCTGACCCCAATTTCCCAAGTAGAGCTGGAAGGCTGCTCAATCTCTAAGAATCAACCAAGAGTGCTTGCAAGCTCCCGAAGACCAGTCGCCTCGATGTGCCGCAGAACTTCGCCCATCTCCTCGAGGTGGCCTCCTCCACTCTCCGGGGAGGCCAGGAAGGACAGAGCCTGAAGCGGGCAGGGCATCGCAGGGCACCGCACATCGCAGGGCGAGCGGGATTTGGAGCCTGCACCCAGAGACTTTGGTCTGCCGAGCCGTAGCGCTTGCAGACTTCCAGGAGACGCTTTGCATCCTGGAGCACAAGAGAGCGGTCGGAGCTAGCACGCCGGACACGCTTCCAGCCATGCTTTTCATGCACGGACTGCTCCTTGTGCTCAAAGCACCATTGCATCAGGAGCTGGTGTCGGTGCAATCTCTCCGCAGCATGGAAAAAGCCGTCCACAAAGCCGAAAGCCCTGCACAGAAATGGTGACGATCCCGCCACTTGCTTGCCAGCACATATGGCTAGGAGCCCGACTGGCAGACCATCAAGGTGTTGGCTAAAGCAGCATCGCTGGGATACCTCGATGGACATAGGAACCGCTGCAGTGCACTCGTCGGCTGCTTCTTTGGGAGTATTGAATGTGGATGACCTTCTTAAAGCATATGTCTGAACGGCCATGGGCCATACTGTTTGGCCCTGACTGAAGTCTTAAGTCTAGTCTAATACAAGCCTGCCTTGATTCTCGCCGCCTGGCTGCATCAACAACCTGGCTAGTTACGGCTCTACCATGTCTCCATAAGCTGGGACACACCTGACCTCGAGCTCGGGGTTCCAAGCACTCACTCCAAGGACAACGGCGCAAGGACTCTCATTAGAGGCACGCAAACTCAACGGGGTAACCTCGCTGCACAAACTCTTTAAGACCTGACGTGTGTTCCACCACCTATGCTCACATTGAACCACGGTAAGGAGCCACGTGTGCAGATGACCTTTTGTTTGCTTTTGGTGGGGTTCAAGTTATATAGGGTAATCGTGGTCTGGGAATCCGTCTGTGGTCCACATCGGCGGGAGCACGGCGAGCATCAAGAGCTGGATGAGGGTCGGGTTTATGATCTACTGCCGGTGCGCCGAAGGAACAGGGCTGAGCCTTGAGTCCCCGACCAAGCCCGTGCTAATGCTGCAGTGGCCGCTGCGCTGCAACCGAGTGGCTGCCGGATTAGCCGCATGATGTCTGCCGCTATGCAGCTGGCGATCTGCATCGAGAGAAAAACCAAGTTCAACAACGAGATAGGCTCATCACAGCCAAAGCTTGCAGGCCTCCTGCTTCTCGGCAGGGATGTTTCCGTCTGCAAGCAGAGAGCTGTGTGACTTCACCTTGACAAAGAGAAGAACGGCTCCAGAGCGAGGCATGGCCATGACGGCCGTGGAATGGCATTAGTCCAGGCACCAGCAACTCCAGGAGTGTCGGAAACAGCCGCTCTGCCTGGGAAGCGTGCGCTGATTTTACCCCGGCCCGGCCCTTCCTCCTCCGTCAGGAGCAAGACTCCCCCTTCATCTGAGAGCCCGACCTGGGCCTGCGGCAGTTGGCAGCCATCATCCACCAAGACGGAGCGGAGGAAGACCTGTGATATCAGCGCGGCCGTAAACAGGCTTTGTTGCTTTGCCTTTTGCCCGTATTGCGCGTGGCCTCAAGCTGCTGCAGGTCGTCAGCCTTGGGGAGAGCAACTTTGATCCAGGGCCGGGCAAGCAGGCAAGCTGCAGCGACTACAGTATCGGAACTGTCCAAACTTCTCAAATCGAGCAGCAAACACCGGCAACAGCTCGTCAACAGTCGGACCTTCGGCTTCAGAAGTATATGGCAGAAGGACAAGCGGACTAAACCATTTACGGCCGGAGGCCTTGGCACTCAGCTTGGAATGCCTGCAGGAGACTCCAGGACTTCTTCTTACCCGTTTCAATTAAACTCCGAACGTGACGTGAAAGCACCTGGCCATCCATCGGCTGGCCGCGAAGGTTGCACACGTGACGAATTAGTTTCACGGTCTCCTGGCGCACATGCATGCAGCGTAATGCTCCTGAAGTCGTCGCCGTATGTCCGCGCTAGCTCTAGGCACTCACTCGTACAGAGAGACAGATGTCACTCACGAAATTCCGCAAAGCCTTGCGAGTCTTTACAATCTGCCCGTCTCCTTAGGTGCGTGACGCATCAGCGTCCGCCCATAATTGAGCAGAATTCGTCCTGCCTGACAACACGCAAAGACTGGCATCAGCAATATACTCATTGAGTCTTATTGATAAATTGAAACTTTGGGACAGGGAAGGAGGATCTCGAGTAGGACAGAACCGTAACGGAGCTTGGCGGCGTCATGCCCCATGTCTCCTGGCCTAGGCTCGTCTGACCCTTTCAGTGTCCTCGACACGTGGTAAGGAATGCAAGAACTGGACTGTAGTGTCGTAGTTTTTGAACCTCGAGGCAATTTGTTTCGACAAATGCAACCCGCAGCTCTGGCAACGATTTCCCAAGGCTTGAACTGCTCCAAGGAGATTCGGACAAAGTCGTCATGACTGCCCACCTGGACAGGTTGCAAGCCCGACTAAATCTTCCTCAGAGGGCATCCTTCAAAGCTCTGTCTCCGTGGATGGCACTTCAAACACTGTGGGGCCGAGGAACATGCAACGCGCAACTTCGGCAGTCCAAGATAACATACTGCACCGGGCAGAAACTTGATCACACTGCCTCTGCCAGGAAGAACTCAAGTACGGAATAGCAGCATTCGTGGCTTCCCGTGCTCCAGACTCCAGAAACAGTGCTCTATTCTGCCAACGCTTCGCTGTGCTCTTGGACTCTTCTGGGCATCTCCGACATGGCCTTTTGAGCCACTTCTGCAGCCAGCCCGTGGTATGCTGCCGACTCCAACACCTGCTGGGCTCTGAATCTCTCTCACCGTTGCATTGCCTCTACAAAGCAAATTCTGCCATGAACGCCGGCGGTCTTGTCTGACAGCAACGAACGTGTTCTGGTATCATTCATATTCATTCATATTTAGAGTCCGTCTGAGTGCAAGCGTTCATGCCTCGATGGCGGTCGCATGATCGTACTGAGAAGGTGGTGTGGTTTTCAGAAACTCCTGCCAGTCAGGTCGAACAGCAGCATGAGCATCATTGGCAGGATTCAGGCCTTGACCGGCTTTTAGCAATGCTCGGGCTGACATGCAATGCATTGTACTTCATTGTTGTAGACCAGTCTCCCCCTTGGGCATTCCGGGAACCTCAGTGATAGCATTTTTGCAGTTGAATACTAACCTCGTCGGAAGACTCCTCCGTGTGGCGGCAACATCCAATTCCGACAGTGCATCTAATTTTGGGGTAGCTGGTAGAATGCAAGCAGCCGAAGGAAAAACACGAGAACGAAGTCGAATCTAGGTTCGCTTTGTCCATAACATAGCCGATGGCTTTGTTCGACTGTCGCAGTGCGACGCCTGTTGGGCTTATGTCCTCCGATAAAAGAATTTCTGTGCGAACATCATCATGCGTATCAATCCTGTTCGCTCAATGGAAGCCGCAGCTTGTCCTCCAGCGTGGTGAAATCCTTGAGCTTGGTGTAGCATTTGAGAAGGAGTGCCGTGTGCTCTGGTTCAGCCATGTCCTGCACTGTAGGAATGCAGCATGGGACTCACCCCGTTGTAACTCAAGCGCGGCGCACGACTCTCTTTTGTGCCCGCGCGGAAGTCGCACAAAGCACTCCACTGCAATCCCTTTAGGGTGCCCAAGAAGCAGTGGCACCTCTGGGCAAACTCGAGTACCCCAGCATCTTACACAGGTTGCCGGAGATGGGCATTTCTCAGCCAGAGGCCGAGGGAAAACAGCAGCTGCTACAAAAGAGGAGAGAAAGTCAGCCGAATTTTGGTCCGACTCCCCGCGAGCATGGCTGCCAACCTGTTCATGCATCATCTTCGTGGGCTTTGGTGTGACTGCGACGACCCTGATTAGAGTCATGCTCGTCTGTTCAGTTTACAGTGAAGACAGATTCTGCCAATGTGCTAGACGTTGCTGACACCTTGTGGCAGAGTATAAAAGAAGCTGCTGTAATTAATGAAGAACGCAGCAGGCAACCTCGCACATCAGCCCTTTGGGGATGTGTCATGCCCGGCAGACCAGTTCGCAATGATAACCTGACCGGACATGCTGGGCAGCACCATCTCTGCTTGGCTCGTAAGACAGGATTGATCCTAGGCTTCCTTGCCACGAGGCTTTCTCAATTGCTAGGACCAGCCCTTTCTCCGTCCGAGTCTGGTTACAGTGCCGGGACTGCGCCTCCAAACTGCTGCGGACGGTCTCCTGGGCGTCCGGCTCCTCGGCCCTGTCCTGTCAGCCACCAGAATCGCACATGACAAAAACGAAAACCTTTCAATTCAGCTCAGGGTCCTTCAGGCACAGGCCTTGCGCCGTACCCGGAATGGCACGACCTCGTCGTGCTGGCCATGGCAAACTTCAATTGACAGTCCTTCTGACTAAGCTTGGCGCGCAGCACCTCCAGCAGGCCCTCCACATAACGGATTGGCAGGTGATCGTGGAACATATGCCCGCTGATGTATAGCTCCTGAAGCAGGACACATCACATGAAAAGGGAAATGCATACACTGGCCGGTTCAGCAAAGCATCGTGGTAGAAACTTGGCAGTGACCTTGGCTTTGCAGCTGCTTGTGTCAGCGATAGTGTGGTGCCAATCCACCGAGCGATTCAAGCAGTGCCGACCCGTATGAAGCGTATTTACCAGATCTGCTGCTAGCGCAGCCCTTTGCGCACGCCTCTGCACTCCGCTGTGCTGCACCATGCTTTGCATGGCTCACGCAGCGGACGGGTGGGGAGCTAACCCTCACCGCTAGACTGTCAAAAACGAAAGCGAACGATCCTGCGACAAGGCCCTCCAAGCGAGCCCTTGGGGCTCACGCGGTGACATTTCCACAGGGGCTGGGACAGTGGTTCGGCAGCGCCACCGACGACGAGTGACAGCCGCAGCTCTCTGGACAAATGTAGGCCAAAGGTCGGAACAAGGGCTCGAAGCCTTCGCACCACTTGGCTGAGCTGGTGATTTCGAACTGAAGGGTCGGGTCTGAAAGACCCGGGCATCCTCTGACTTTCATTTCAGCGACAAGGTTCTTGATGTTTGAATAAATCACAGTCTGCGACATGTCGTTGCCGAAGAAATCAGACAAAGCATCTGGGTAGATGTCCCAAAAGCTTTCCCATCGGGCCTGCCACCCGTCGGAGCTCTCGCCCTCTCCTGGCACCTGGTCTTTGCATGCAACTTGGCCCAGCAGCGGCTCATTGAGTTTCAAGCAGGACTCCGTGCAACCGCCCCTGATCACCTTGTGGAATGGCTGGCTCAAGGGATCGGTGCAGCCGCAGGTGGCGCCACAGACCATCCGCAGCAGGCGCGCTTGAGGCAGGTCGCAGAGATGTTGGACCTCAGTGCAGTTCCCAACCTCGCGGAAGTCCCCCAGCATGGCCAGGGCAGTATGAAGACGAGGAGGGACCAAAGTCCCCATAAGAGGATCCCCGTAAAGGTAACCTCCTGGTTGCAAATAGTCAGTCTCCACGCAGGCTGTCCACTGCTCCTGGTCAGAGTGCATGTCGTGATTTTTCTGAAGCTCAAACTGCTGCTGCCCAGGCTGGAAGGATATGTAGTATGATACTTCCTCACGAGCAGAGTGGATCTGTCGCTGCACTGCCCGCTCAATTACTGAGATATCGACCACCGAATAATTCGTTGTGTCCATGCCTGTGATCACTTGCGTTTCTGCATTCTGCACCACGACGAAGTTTTGATTACCAGCGCACATCTCCCATTTCACGTCACTCATCGTCTGCCCCAATGGCTGGAGCAGAACGACGTACGGAATGAGCAACGTTGTGAGGAGCAGAGCCAACAGTCCAACCGCTTCGGCTTGACTCCTGCGTTGACTGTAGCTGACGGTGATCGGGTTTAACTGTTTCACCGACAGCTCGATGGAAATAGGGGAGAAACCAGCAAATAACCACTCGTCAACGTCCAGAATAGCATTCAGTGCCACGGCATTCAGCATCAAATCTGTGATCGACGTAGTTCGGGCGAGCCATCTGATTCCAGCAATGAGAAGCACAGAAGCTATCACAGTACGTGTGAAAAACGTGACCAGCAGGACTTGCTGGCGTGTCCTAGACAGACTGTGAAGTGTATTGTCTCTATATACGGTCGTTGGTGTGAGAGGCACCGTTAGGATAGCTTCCACAGACAAGAGAATATTCCTGAACTCTTTGTATACACACAGGCTCCAAAGAAGAATGCAAAGAACGCAAAGCAGAATACCAGGCTGATAGGTTCCCGGAACAAAATCACCGGTGCTCAGTCCCATGAAGGCGTTGATGTGATTGACCAGCGTTGCCTGCAGATCCAGATCAAACCAACATGGGACCCAGATCAGACTCGCACATAGGCACGAACAAGGATGCGGCAAGTACATGTGCAGGGTATTCACTTCTCTTACTTATCTTCTGCACTCGCATGCCTCGAGAACCGTCAAACAGCACTGATCTGCATCTTGCGCTCCATGATTTGGGAAGCATTGTAGTCTTATCTGATTCTTGGAGACTCTGCTGCGAAAGTGGGTTTCAGCATATGGATACGCTTACGGCTTGATGGCTTGGTTTCGGCTCGTCACCTAGTACTTAGTACTTGGTCATCTGTCTGTTTCCTGCCTCTGCCTCTTTGCTATCGCCGTTGGATTTATACGTCCGTGCAAACCTAACAAATTGTGGACAAGAGAACAGGTAGCTGCAATCGACATGATCTCTGAATATGTCGGAACATGCCAGAGTGCCAAGGAAAGTCAAAACAGTGTCCGACTCAGGATCCAGCTTGAACCGTTGACAAGATCAGGGCGCCATCTGCACTGCACACCCGAGTGGCAAGACTGGTCTGCTGCAAATCCATGTACTTGTAGTCATGCGCAATTCCTGCTCGCCACCGTCTGGCTGTGTCAACTTCTTCTTCGAAAGGCGACCCCATGAAGCTGGGCCCAAGAATAACCTCTGCAAACATGACTTGCATTCCCAAGTTTATCAGCAGGAGCAGCACTGCAAAAACCACCTCGAGTGCACTTGCACTGGTCAAACCCAGAATGACTGGGAAAGTCCAGGCACTCTCGCCGAAGTGCACAGGACCAACTTGAGTCCCCAGATCGACTTCGGATCCAAGCTGCAGCTCAAGGTCGTCCTCTAGCTTCTCCTTCTCTTTCTTCTCGCTGTTCTTCTTCGTGTCCTCCGGCTCCGGAGGCCGGTTCCTGAGCCCGTTCCCTGAAAGCTCCAGTTTGGAGGTCTCCAAGGCTTTTAGTCGCTCGGCAATGTCCAGGAACTCCTCGCGGATCTGTTCCCGGAGCAAGGCAAATTCATGCTGCAGGGCACGAACTTCGGGCGAAACCTCTGGAGTAGGCATCACAGAGATCACAGAGACTACGATTATCTTCACATTTGCTTGAGGCAAATGCTGCAGGTGATGCTCGGCGTGGGATGATTCTTGGAAGGGGTTTGCGATTTCCTCGGGAGCAGGCTGGGCAACTTGATTTCTGGCAAGACTACCGCAAGCTGGCACAGCGAATCAAAGTGACGGAGGCAATGAGGCGCCAGTAATCCACACCGCCCTGCCGTCGGCAAAATCAAAGGCAGCAAAAAGGCTGTCTTTTCCCATGACGGGGCCCTCGTTTCTTAATCGCGGGTTGCCACACAGTTTCGGGCGAATGTGCAACGTGCTGCATTTTGATCGCGCGTTGATTCTGCAGCACAGGAACCTTGTTGCTATTCGGGTGCTGGCTCATAGTTTGAAAGACGTGTACAGTGTACTGGATGCCTTATTCGGGGCGTGGGGGGAGGGCTGATAAATCGAAACATACAGCTTGTAGCGCAACAGAAGCAATAGCAACACCTTCAAACCGTCGAACCGGGAGCTCTGAACACCACTACTGACACTACTGCTACTTCGAATGCTACTTGCCAAAGCTGCTTCCCTCCTCCTCATCCGTCGTCCCTATTACGCACATCATCGTCATCAGCCTCCTGCCTGCTCCTCCTCCTCCTCCTCATCATCATCGTCATCATCATAGCACGATCACTACCATCACCAGCACCATCAGCATCGTTATCATCATCATCATCATCATCATAATCATCATCATCATCGCCACCACTGTGACAATCTTCGCGGTCATCCTCCTCCTCCTCTTCATCATCATCATCACCTTCAGCATCGTCATGGGCAGCCAGCATCGAGGTACCTCGTCATTCTAGTCGACTTTCCTCTAGTTTCGACCAAAACGTACTTGATTATTGGAATATTGGATGCTGATGCATAGCCAAAAGCACGTTCAACACAGCCATGTTGCCAGAATAGCCGTGTCGGGGAGGTGGACATACCAACACCACGACAGTCCATGTGAAGCAGCCTCCCTGGAGTGCAGAGAACCTGGCATCGGCTGGGCACAAGTCACGAGCGCTCAACACGAGAACCTCCGCTGAAGAATCTCCTAGCCGAGACCGCACTGTAACACAACTACAGCACAAATACATCAAATACATGTAGTTATGTATGTACTTTTGTATGTAATTATGTATGTATGCATGCATGGATGGATTCGTGTTTGCGTGTATCTTCTATCGGCACAAATGCATATGCATACAGCATCCTGGTCCACAACCAACGGCCTCCGGCACCTGGGACTCGGCACCGAATGCCCTCAGACGAGGGCTGGTGGAGGTGCCTTCACCTTGCAATTTGGCAGAGATGGTCAGAGGACATGCTCCGGGGATTTAGGTCTGCGGACAACTTAGGATCCAGGGGCTGAAGCGAGGGTTCCCCGTAAGATTTGAGAAGCTGTAAGCCCTGGCAAAGGGGCCCCGAGTTAGAGCTTTTGTGAGGAAGACAGGCTTTAGAGTTTCGGAGGGTGGAGGCTTGGTCAGGAACTCAGGGTAGCTTGATCATCTTTGGGTCTCACTGATTCAAAGGGCATGCATCCTAGCTTAAGATGCGGCCGGGCCACTTGCGCGTCCAAGTTTCTGAAATATCCACTGCTTGGCCATGTTTGGCGCGCTCCGTTCCTTCCGAAGCAGAAACATGCAAAATATGGGTTCGTGATGCAGGGTTCGTAGTAGGCCTGACCGAGGTTTCTAATGGGCCCGTCCGAGCGTCCGTAAGCTGCAGAATAAGCTTGTCGATGCCGAAGACAGAGACACGCGTGATATAATCGGCATCGAAGGCTGTGGACATGACCTTGTGGATTTCGATCATGACAAAACCCTCGGGTTCTCTGGAACTTACTTGTTTCCGACAAAGCTCGTTCTGCTGCCTCGCAATCAACAGTCGTCACATCCGGAGCCCTGTCCATCAACAGAGCCCTGTCACTGCCACAGCTCTCCAGGACCCAGGCATAGGAAGCGCAGCGGCTAGCCAGCTCTGGTGACACAATCCTCGGTGTTTGAGCTCTGCTCATGCTTGCGTCGACTCACCAAGACTGTGAAAACAGCATTTCACGGTCGCGAGGATGCTTGACATGGGAAAGCTTAAAGGACAGTGCCGAAGGTCGGCGATGCACCAAAGCCGTAGGCGAAGGCCTTCCGCATTGCGACTGGGTAGTCTGTGCCCAGATCCTGAGGACTTGCTCTTCGCTCGTGCACCATACCACAATACTCTGGAACCACTACGTAGCTTTTGCGCGTTGTGCGGATTCTGTTTGTTCTAGTGGCATTCTTGCCCGCATCTGCTTTGTAGCCCTTCTCGAGCACAGGCTCAACATTCAGGAAGGCATCCAGAGCCTGCCAGCCACCCTCTTCCAACAGACACGAGAACAGCCACACTATCAGTGCTGCAGTCTGTCCCATCGCTACATGGCCTACTCTCTCGAGCTATAAGTACCACGGAGTCTCCATGCCTCTGGATCTGCGCTAGATCCCCAGCTCTTAGGAATGGAGACGGCGCCGGTGTCGCCCTCTCGCAGCATGATGGCCACCTCCAACAGATCCGAAAGACCGAGCCTACTTGGCTGGCTTCCAAGTGCCAGGTGATATAAGCCCGTCATCTCCATGGTCTCTGTTGCCGAGCGGCGAGTTCGGCCACATCCGCTCCAAGGGAGTGCCCTGTGCAGATGAGACGGTACTCTGGGATGTTCTGCAGAGCCGAGGCCATGCAGGCCCCAGCAGTGCTGAGGATCCACCTTCCCGGTGTGCGAGACACGCTGCCTCTATGTGCAGGAGTTAGTTGCAGTCGTATGTTATCGCTGGACGTTCCTGACAATGACCCCTTTGATTCTTTGGCTCGACCGCTGTATGTTGCCGTGCTGTTGCTCGTGAGTACTCAAGCGCGTCTACATATGGTCATAATATAAACATTAGGCTTATCTGCGGTTTCTCACGTATTTGTGGATTGTGTCGTCTTGTGCAAATGCAAAGCTTGTGATGAACGCTAACCTCGCCTTCCAACGAGGGTTGGGCACTTGACACAACTAGACCGCTACAATGTTGCAGCCCGTTGAAATGACCACACACCGCGCCTTGCTGCACGTGCCATCCCGCTGTGGGCCAAACCGCCCGCGACAAGGCTCTCCTGCGGAGGGAGTGTTGCCAGGTCTCGCTGTCTGTGAAAATCAATAGCTACAATGACGGGCTTTGAGCATGCCAAAGTTGGGGTGTCTTTTCAGGAAGCGCCTCGGCAGCAACATCGGTCAGCACAGCGCTATACTCGCAAGATCCTCGCACCGCAAGCACCAACCTGACACAGCCACGTCTTAGAATTCGCAGTAGCATGATTTCTGCGATACCGAACCGGCTGGAAGAAGGAGAAACCACTTGTTTCAACCTTTGTCGGGAGCGAAACCGAAAGGTGCCAGGAGCAATCACGGCCCTGCCCAACGGTAGTAGCAGCCCAGTGACCAGCGCATCCGATGGACCCAGAAGACCACGTAAGCCGGTTCAAACGGTCTTTCCGTCCTGAGTGATGCGGTTCAATGTGATGGCAGCCGAACACCACACGAAATCCACCATCATGCCACCATCAATGCAATTACTCCATTCCGGCATGATGTCTTGCGACAGACTATGAGACTCACGAGTCTGAGGTACCCGAGACTGATTTTGCGGCCGAAAAATCCACTGTGCCTTTACTATGTCCGCCCGCTGCGCGCCGGTCAGCTCCACGAAAGCCTGGCTCGAGGCGGGTGTAACAGCACCTAGGCAAAGCCATGCATTGAGCTCCAAAGTCTTGCAAAAGCCATGAGCTGAATTGTCATCTTCCGTGCCATCTCTGCACATCTATGGACATGCATTACATCCCCGAATCACGTGGCTCTCAGGCTCTCTCACCTCTTTCGGGGGCCTCGGTGTGTGCCTCTGCATCCCATGTGCCGGCGGCTGATCGAGCAGCACCACCAAGGAACCCACGAACTCGGTCCCCAGCGCCCTGACAGCAAAAGCGCTTGCAAGCAACTGGAAAGTGCCCTGATTGCTTCATACCTGAGACGCTGCACGGCGAGACCCAGGTTTCCTTCGTGCTTAGCACCGGGTGTGGACGAAGACTACTCCAGGAGGCGAGTAACTTACGTTTCTGAGCCGCTCTCTGATTTGGTCTGGGCCGAGTCTCTTGGCGCATCAGCGCTCCGTAGGCTGCCCGGGCAAAAACTGCAGCCAGAGTCGTGCGAGGCAAGAAGCCCTTGGCCAGAGGCGGGCACTGCTGCGAGCCCCAAAACTTTCATGAACCCTAACCCCAAGCTCCGTCCTGCCTCGCCCGCTATGTTCTCCATATGGGCCACCTCTGCCTGCAGATGGGCTTCTTTTCGGTGTGGTGGGGCCAGGGATGTGGTCTTTCGGAAGTTGTTGCGAAGTCTCGCACGAGCAGCGTTCGCCAGCTGAGGCACGTCAGAGCATGCTGTGGCGGGGTCCTCAAGTCCCGAACCATGTCCAGACGTGTCGAAGCCGCATTCTGGAAGAGGTGTGGGAAATGATACGAGGCACGTCCGTAGGAGAAATTCCGCTCAGGTTTGAAGCGGTAGTAATTAAGCAAGTAGACATTGAGCAGTGAGAATGCGAATCGAAGGATGTAAACGCGGCACCAAGACACCCCGACACTCTGGGTGTTCAGATTCGTAGCAGCTTGGGTCCTTCTAGACTGCCTTGACATGTACCAGTTAGATCGCACGGAACCGGTGGCTTCCGCAGTTTGACCCTTCTTGTCGCAATTGCATGGCCTTCTCCGTATCTTCCAGTCTCCGGCCTAGGGCCCGAGGAATCTGCACCTCCTGCACAAAGCTTTCGACAGACTGACAATGGGTGCGGCAAGTTAAAATGCACATGCTCCGTCCCTGTACCTCAAAGGCAGTGAGGTACTCTTCGTAGTGCCTCCAGAAACACAACCAGTCTCATCGACTGATGTATCTGCCGACGAGCGAGTGTCCATGAGCCACGCCTCTGGTGCTCTGGGTAAAGGCGAAAAGGCAAACTGGGATCTGCCATAATGCTCAGGATGTCACCTGATTCTCAGATGGGCTCCAGAAGGGCATTTCGACGATGCCGAGATTGAAAGCCAAGACTCTCTTGGAGCGCTTGCCGATGTGCGCCACCAGCAGTGAACGAAGCATATCGAGAGCCTTCGGCAATCTCCAGCACAGAGACTGTGGGCAAATCTCCGTTCCGTGTTTCTCGCGCTTGCCTCGCCAGCAGCATCCTGCGGTGTCTCGGAGGCATCGTTGGCTCGCATCGGACGGCGTTCCATGGCACATGTGCGCGCCCGGAGCAGTGTAGAGGGCGGCAAATCGTAAGGCAAACGGTGGCAGATCGGCATCTTCCCAGGTCTAGATTCTAGATCGCCGCGCCGGCTTATCCCACTGCTGAGCTTCTGCGCATTCGAAGCGCAAGTTATTCTGTCTTGCAGGTACCTTTAGTGATATTGGCTGGTCGGTAAATGTGCCACGAATATGCATGGGCTGCAAAGCCAGACTGGATGGCAGCACGCATCGTGTCGCATCGGGCCCTCTCATACTGGATTTTCGGCGATGCCATGCTGTGCACAATATGGGGGATTCTCAATTGAGATTCCCACAGAGAAGCTGGCTACAACTCAGATCTGTCTTGCTGTTGGGCCTCCTTCTTTTCACGTAACTCACATATCCTCCCCTTCAAAACCGCACTCCGCACTCCCAGAGGCCGGCCTTCTCGTGCAGCTTCTTGAGGTATTGAGCCACATGGCCGATTCTGCCCAGCACGAAACGGAAGGACGTGTTATTCTTGATTTCACATGGTTGTTGCTCTGCGGATTGATGATTTGTAATTAGGCTTATTGGTGCCTCGACTCGTTATATACTGCTCCAAGAACCCGTTGCAATTCAGCATCATGTGATGCACTTGTGCCTCTGCGCATCCAGGTATCTCTCCACGACATAGGATGGCTCCAGCGGAAGGCCCAACTCCACGGTCTTCACGTAGACGCCCAAAGCCTGACAGACCCAGCGAACAGACAGCAATGAGAGGTTTCGAGGCTAAACTCGAGGGCGATGGCCGGGGCACACGCCTACTCTTTTTGGAGCAGCCCTGCCTGATCATATGCTCTTTTTTCGAAGAGCGCATCGCCATGCTGCCGGTAGATGTCGGCAGTCACCTCGCGCACAATTGGCTCCAGGATACAAGCCTGTACCTAACCAATGCTACTGCGATTACACCCGCAGTGCCATCATTGCGATTTTGATGGATGCTGTGGTCACTGTCACTCCCCCTGTTTTTCATTCCGACTAGGACTGTTGTTGGCATCGCGGTTGCTGACTGCGACTGCTCGGAAGGGTCGGAGCGATGCCCTCGCCTCTGGCGCGGCATTGCAAGACAAAGCCACCTGGGGTTCAAAGCTTGGGACTTAGGATATCTTAGGATGTTCAGGGATTCTTGGGTCATGCTTTATCATGAATTTCTGAAGGTGATGTGGGAAAACAGCGTGGTGCCGAAGGTGCTTGTACCCATAGATAGCTGCTTTGAGAGCTGTCGTGGGCCTCTGCAGCCCACTCGAACATCCGCTTCCTCACGAGCACATCCTCAGACGCACCATCAACATGGCATATGCTGTCGAGTCCGCTTCTGAGAGCGTCTCACGATCAAGTCCATGAAGCCCCTGTACTCCCTTTGAGGCGGGATCTAGTCGCTCTTCCAGTGGCTTCTCCCGAAGTTCGAAGAGGACCTTGGAAGATGCTACGTCCTGTGCCCTTCAGCACCAGTCTGCCACCCATGCAGCCTTCATTTAGCAACAGAAATCGACTCTGCATTTCTCTCTGCCGAGCGACGCTGTTGCCGTCCGCGCCGCCACGGGACAGGACGAACACACGGCCCAGGCCGATCACGACGTCTGTCACATCAGTGAACTGGCTGGTCTCGGCAGATGCAGGCACTGACAAGCGGCCCGGCCGTTGAACCAAGTTTGCCGTTCTTGGCTACCGATTAATGTAATGATTTAGGCTTTAGGGCTCTCGGACACCTGTGCAGTTTCGCTGATTCTTGCCTCCACGACGAAGGCAAATGATCTCAGTTTCACCTCTCTTGCGACTGCGATGGTCCACCCCTCTAGGCTCTAACAAAACCCTTGTTTTGAATTCTACCTAAACCCTGAATCATCAAGACATGTCTGAAGGTAATCATCCATTCTTGCGGTTCCCCCGGTCCAGCATGCATACGCCAAGCGTCGAAGGCTATGAAGCGCATGCCCTTCTGCACCAAGACTATTGTCACCTCAGCTCCACTGACGTTGTACCATGCGACTGAGAATGCAGGTCTTGTAGCATTGGAACTACCAGCTCAATGTATCGCAATTATGCCTGACTGCTGCAGGTTTTTTCTGCTCGCGCCGATGCAACTGCTCTACGCAGGAGGGGCTGACACCGTGTGCCGTGCTTGACAGCTGCAGTCTTTTGGCGTGCACACTGAGAAACCGGACATGCCATCGATGAGGAATCTTTGAGCAGTCCATAGAACTGCACCGCAAGTCCTTTAGGTGGCACCTTGGTGATCTGCCAGCTTGAATTACCTGCTGCGTAGGATTATCAAGGACTGGTGTTGCGCAACCATCTCGTTCTGCCTGAGATACAACCATCCGTTGAAATTCAGGCTCTGCTGAATGGGGATGCAGCACAGCACATCCCGCCCAGCAAGTTGCTTGCAAGCCTGGGCCTGAGATAAAACGACGTAGTCTTGGCTCTCTGATCGCCACTCTTTCTGTCAGGATTTACGAGAGCTTGCCAGACGACGGGATCGCTGCTAACTACAAGTCGCAGATCTGCTGCAGAATAGCTTTGCTTCAGATGGCCTGTAGCGGAACTTCCGAGTCCTTTCTGTACAGGGCTTTTGTGCCGCACACCTTCGCAGCAGGTGTACACAGCCTTTAGGGCTGAAAACTGTGACGAAATAACACTTGGCGACACGGCGGCAAAAGTAATCAACAGCTTAGAGGGGTGCTGCCATGGATACAGTCGAATTTCTGTTTATGAGGGTGAATCATCGCTGTGCCTGCGAGCTGTGCAGTTGAATTATCTCTACCTGAGTCTCGGTAGATGCTGCACATTGAAAGATGCAAAGTTTCCGCTTACTTGGCCACCAGCCGCCCTTGCAAGCTTGTGTGCAAGTTTCCCAAGCTGGCGCACTCTGCGAAACCACTTCCTCTGTCTGCTCACAGTAATCTAGTTGTTGATTTGTTTGGCTGTGCTTGTCTATGCACCCGTGCTTCCCTTAATCTGGTGAGCCTGTTGCATTATTTGGTGCCATGATCCGCGAAGGACAGGGAAGTTGCTAGATGGCCTTCCTACTGCTGAAAATCATAGACTGCATCTCCCAGATAAACACCCTCAGGGAAACTGGGAGTTCAGTCATGTCTGCAGATGCTGTGACCAAAGCGGCACCATCGAAGATCGGCTAAATCGCTCGGGTACGCAATTGTCCAGGGCCGCCTGACTGTATGGCATCCGCAAGGAAGGTCAGAAAAAGCTAATGTTCAACTTGAGAAATTCCACTCGCAAGTCACTTTTGCAAGAAACTTGGAGTGCCCACAGGCATCCTGTCTGTATCACCCTGAGTTCAGCCACATGGCCGTCGGTCGCCCAACGCCTTTCTAGACGTCATCCAGGCGACGTCTTGCGGCTCATCGCAAGTGGCCCGGCTGTTGCAACCATGCATGTCTCATTGGCACCAGTGTTCAAGAGGTGCAAACCCGCAGCCACTGGCAACGGAGGGATTTGCACCTTTGCTTCGACGCTGTATCAACGACCTACTGGAACTAGCACAGAACCTTTGTGGCACCTGTGCTGTCTTTCCGTGCGCAGGCAAACTTCTGCAGCAATCTTGAGGTCCATGTCCGTACATTGCACGCATTAAATCCAAGGTTCGCCTTCGCACACAAAATCTGGAATGGACCAATGGGCAGGGACAAGCATCAGAGCAAGCCAAGCTTGCAACTCCGATCTCCTCGAGATGCCCAGATACCTACCCTTCCCTTCCAAAATCTTCAAAAGTTCACTCCGCAAGGAGACGATATCGGAGAATCACGCCTGCGCTCTCACGGCAGTTGACACTCTGGACTCTCGACATGCAGTCAGCAAAACCTGAGTTCTAGTGGCGTGCCTTAGCCTTGGCGCTGGCCATCCCTGCTACGGACCAGCACCGCGTCCCTGACACCAGGAGAGCCACTCTCCTGCAACAAAAGATCACCCCGGTGCGGCCAGTGTCAAAGCAAACTGACACTACCGCAATCTCGAACGGAGTGCCTGAGTTGGAAACAACAGGATTTGGCCTGCAGCTATTTTGCAAATCTAGCTGCGCTGCTGTCTCGGAAGCGATAGATAGATGGATAGATAGGTGCTCACGTGCGTACCTACCTACCACACGCGCGTACATACGTTCATTCATACATACAAATACGTATGCATATACAGACACATACGCACATACGTGCATACGTACATACATGCATACACACAGAGAGACGTATGTACACACAAACAAACATACATACCTATACATACACACCTACAGCTACAAATGCCCATGAGCAAATGTTTGTGTATAGGTATGCAGCACATGACGTATGGGAACGCATTGCTACCATCCCCTCAGCTCCTGCTCCAGGCGGCCGCTGTCTAAGCTGTCCTGTGCAAGCCGGGCGAACAGGTGGAAGCGCGGAGGCTCCAAGCCGAGAGCCTCGCAGGGGTGTTTCAAGCTCTTAGCTTTTGAACCACACAGGCCTGGGATTTTAATCGTAGGCTGTTGGCTTGAGAGCTGATAGTTCTTGGCTGCAGGGCTTTGGGGTTGGGGCCTGATGCTACACGGATTATAACCTTTCGCCACCGCCCGCCATCAAGTTCCGAGCTTTGGCACGAGCTGTCTCTTCATCCATTGGCTCGGTGATGTAAAGGCCCCGGGTGTTGGCGAAAAAGCGGCGTGCGGGGAAGTCCTCAGCAGCTAAAGTACTGCTATTCCCGTGGCTTGAGTGTCTTCCTGAGATGCAGGCGTTGTGGTAGACACCTCCCATGGCTGACTGGTACGAGCAGGCGAGCAGGAGTCCCTTCTGTGGAGGTTGCTGCTTGGAAGCAAATGCTACGTCGGCACATCATGCACACCACTCTTGAAGATGGAGCCCTCTCGCATGAACGAGTGATAGAACTGCATGTACGTCAAAATCCTCACGGCAAGGACCGCCCTAGTCTGGCATGTCAGACAAAGCGAACATAGGCTTCGATGAACATGGTTATTTTCTGTGGCAGAACACGAAAGGAGGCTGACGAGCAACCTTTGCTCCCTTGGTGCTGTGTGCGTCTCTTGCGTCCTTTACCGATAAATAGGGTCGGAGAGGGGCTCCTCGCTGTATTATTCCTGAATTCTACACCCTACCACATCCAAAGCACAAGGTCGCTTCCGGAATTACCGGGTATTGGCCTCCCTTTGGTCAGCTTTATGGGCTGAGGGCTCAAGGTGTATGCCCCGTAAGGCCCGAAACCCTAAACCATCCTATTGGCAGCTCGTTCCCCCGGTTTGGAGTCTGCGGTTAGGAGGGTACTGTAGTTCTGCAGGATACCCCGGGCCTTGCACTTCGTAGTGCTGCGGGACAGGGCAAGGGGCCGATACGGGGTCGCGTAACGATACGCACTTGATAAATATACGTTTGAAGAGTGACATGGATGAACCGACTTTGTGTACGTGCTCCGTTTTCCACGCAATGCTTCATCGTGCGCGGTGTCTGATGGCGAGCATCCAAGTAACAAAACTGGGTGCATCTTCGATCCTCGCTTCGCTGTAACCAGACTTTAACGAGCCTTGAAATGCGTCGGATACAAACATTGCTGCCGTAACCAGCTTGCATGCTGGTGTTGAGGTTATCAGCGGAGCCATCAGCCATCTACTGCAGGCCCGAGCTTGGGGATAATTTGACGATGCACGGAACGTGTCTTCCAAGGCCAGGTTGGATTCGGACTTGGAAGGCTGAAAGCATCCCGCTTGGCCTTGTGCCTGCGGATTGGAATGTGCCCTGCCTCTTTGCAGACCCGGATTCTCGCATGCGGTGAGAACGGCAGGAACATGTCAGACTGAAACTTGCTTAACCACAAAAACCCTCTGAGCGTCACCGGTCCACCTGCGATGGGTGCCGCCGCATGCCACACTGGCTTGTTTCGTTGACATACCATATATGGTGTGTGGCAACCACGCTTAGAGAATTTTACTTCGCTAGAGTCGAAGACGTTAGTGGGAGGTTGAGTACTATTGCGACCTCACAGAGGCAACAGCAGAATCGGAGCGATCAAAAGATTACCTGTAGAGCAGATCTTACACTGCATCACCCTAGTAGCGAGAACGACCAGCATGTGCCACGGGCTTCTCTACATGTGAACCACTGATGTCGCCGTCCCCACTGTCTTGCAATGTCCAGGTGCACCGGCCGCAGTTGAGGCCAGCCCTTGCCAGCCCAACCTACCCGGATGCGGGATTGCAGACAAAGCCATCTGAAAGTCGAGATCTGCTTTGAAAGCCCTTGAAAGCTTGAGCTTCAGAGCTGCACTTCCTAGTTTGACACTCGCTGAGCCGCCGTCTTTCTAGAGCTCCTTGCCGTTTCTGCTTCCCCATCCTTACCACTATGCGCTGGCGTCATGTAGCCTTTTTAATTGGCATCAACCTTCTAGTGCGGCACGCTCAGGCCATGAACGCAGCTGACCCACTGCGCTCTTGAGTCTGTCAAACTAGGTTGGCTGAGTACATCAGGCCGGTCAGGGCTTGCCTTGCTCTGAAGGTCCTAATCCCGCTCAGCTTGTATGAAGATCCAACTACCCAAGCTCTACATATCACTCATGATACTGCAAGCCGATCTGCACGTGCAGCTCCTGTCCGTTATGTGGCAACAGGGCTTCTGACCAATGAAGCTATGTATCACCGGTGACGTCGAAGCCTTCTTGAAGTGCGGAGAGCCACAATCTGTCCCAGGCTGCGCAACAACAGTGCTGTCCCTTTGTCTCTTACTCTTCATTTTGTCTTCTGTCTTTGCTGTGCTTACCATGTGCCCTGAGTCTCAGCCCCCTGCACAGAAGTCGAGCAATGAATTGCTTAACGCAGCGACTTCAAAAGCTACGCTCCTCGATGCAAGCGACCCACCTAGGTTCTGGCTGCACAAGACGGGTTTAGGAAAGCATACTCGCCTCTGCGGACAACAGGTTCGGAAATCACTTGCAACTGCACACAGAACTGCTCCTGGCGCAGCCACGGAACCTAGCATGAAGGGCCTATGCTGAATCGCCCTGCTGTGTCTTTGCCTTGCATGTAGCAGCACATGATAATACTACGTCGGCGTTCGACTGGTCATTGGAAAAGGCTAAAAAAGCCTGCAATTTCAGGAAGGCTGCCTGGATTTTGGAGTGTTCCAACGACCACGTGCACCTGTACACAAACTGCACCCAGTCGGCTATGTACGCCAACTGAGCTCATAAGGAGACCTGTGCTCCACCAGGAGGCCCAACTTGCGGGGAACGGGGACTGCAATGGGCGCCGCTGGTCTTCGCGAATTTGCGGCCCGGGGACCAGCCCACCCATCCTAGCTCCGGGGAAACGGCGGGAAGGGCGGTCCCACACAAAGGGAATTGGATACGTCTTGCAAAGTCTTGCACTTCGTTACACTTGTGGTGTAGATGTGTCACCTGTCGCAGGGAGCAGCAGAAGAATCTTACACGTCTTTGCTGGCCGACCGTTAGCGGCATTGGCCTCGATACTTGAATCCTTACTATGCTGGCGTAGTCTGCAGTAGGAGTGCAGAACATGCATGGCTGCACCCGCCTGCTCATGTCTGTCCCACCAAAGGACACTTAAAGGAACTTGGCGCAGCAAGGTCTCTTTTGCGTGGCAGATCAACTGTCCTTAGTCTGCACGTTTCGAAGAAAGCAGCGACAGGCAGCAGACCTCGCTCAAAAGTGTTTTGAACTGTTTTTTGGGACGCTCGTGGTGTCCCAGCCGCTGTGGAGTCTCCAGAGCCGCGGTCCTGACGCGTGAAAGTAGACTTGCATTGCAGCATGGCATAGCAACAGCAGGTCCATCATCAGCCAAGGCATCTTGCGACCGTTGAAGGAAGCCTCTCCTGGCGGTACTTTGCGGATGTGACACCGTCTTCCACGGACGTCGCTCCTCACAGGCGGAAACCACTTCAGGCGCTACCTATAGTCAAGGAGTCAAGGCGAGAGGGAAGTCAAAGAGCGAGGCAACATGCAGCTTCGAAAGCTGGATCTCTAGGACTCCAGGATCATCAAGAGACCGGTTGGACAGAAGGCCAGGAACACTCAACAGCTAGCTTTGGTAGCTAACCAGCAGGAAGCTGAGATATGCATACCTACACTGCGAGCCCTGAACGCACTCAGATTCAAGGAGCGCGGGCTCAGAGCTCTGCTCTTTTGTTCTTGTTGCTTCTGTTGGCAGGCTTCGTCTTTGCCACATGCAACAGCTCTTGCTGCTTTTTCTTCGGGCCGTTAAGTTTCGAATTCGGTTGGCGGCTTCGCAGCTACGAGGCCAAGGATCGGAAGACAGTCGGCTGAGATCCCGCTTCCCCAAGTTTGAACCCGGGATGACCCCGGCACCGGACCGTTCCCGTGCTTGCATCTCGCAGAAGACCCAACTTCTCAACTTTTTCCTGAATCTATGTCATGTTCTTTCCTTTACCCCTAGTTAGATCTATGACGGTACGGGCAGACAAACATCCTTGCAAACCGCAAGTGCGCTGCCTGGTGAAGCACTGCCGCCAGTCGTCGCGCTACGAGACTCGCCAGACAAGCGACTCAAGACCTGCGCTGCCACTCTGACTCTGCCAGCGTAGCATAACCTATTGCAACTCCAACATAACACACTGACATATTCTACGCTCACACACTGCATTGCAGAGCGGGAAACCCACTGTCAACCCTTGCCCAGAAGCCCACTAACATGGACAGATTTCGATAAGGCCTAGGGCCTCTAGGGCACCCTTAAGGTTTGGACCCAGTCGGTTCATGGCTGGACAGTGGTCTTCACTCTGACATGGCGACATCTGTATCCAATTTGGCCCTTTGAGTGCAGTGCACAACACTAAATGGTCTTGATTGATCGAAGTGCTTTCAGGAGCGGGTCGCTAACTGTTGCGGCGTGAAGAGTCTTACTAAGCCGTCTGAGACTCCTGCCCAGTCAACTCTACATGCCCTTCCGGTAGTTTTCGGAACCCCTTCCGCGCATCTCTGCGGAAGCACCCGTAGATCTCGCTCGCACACGCTGACCCCAACTTCCGTACAATCACGGTTTGCAAATTCAAAACATCTGACATCCACACAGTTCTTCCGAGAAAACTCGCTACGATCCCCAAACTCTGACGTGGTTTCAATCCTGTATAACCACTTGATAGGCATCCCGTGAAGACCGTTTACAAGCATGCCTACAAGTGTACGATACCCAGAACTCGTCGATCAGATGGGACTATGGCAATATTGATAAGCACGAACTACTATGGCTGATGAGGCTTCTGCTTCTGCGTGTTCCTTCTTCTCGTCGGCTTTGTCCGTATTGTTGTGGTAGTCGTAATAGTGGTAGTTGTAGTAGCTGCTGCTGCAATTCTTGCTGTCGTTGCTCCGTCTCTCCGGGCTTTGGAACGTGCTTAGCGCCTGTTGTGCCCTAGCTCGGCCTGTGCATCCCGCGAAATCGGGCTTTCCTGGAGCTCACCTTGGCGCTGCGCCAAGCGCCTGGGGATCAGCAGAACGGCACCGAGTTGGATTGCAGAGTTGAATGTTGTGCGGATTCGTGGGGATTTAAGGGGCTTGCTCAGGATTAAAAGGCTCCGATCCTGCAAACTGTCAACTTACATCCTTTGAGGATGTCCTTCTAAGTAGACTACTGTGTATGGTGTAAACCCGAAACACTTGTACAAGGTAGGAACATGCACGAACAGCTATGGGGAATTGACAGAGTTTGAAAGGATAAACTCTCCAGCCAAGCCAGGAACCTCCAGCTGTCTGAAGCATGGGGAATGGTTTAAATTTTGGGGGAAAGAAAAGCTTTTGCAAAGCCCTAGAGGGCCAGGGCTACTTTGTTCTCAAGTTCACGAATTTGGCCAACAGCAGTGCCGAAGCAACCCGAGGATTCAGAACTTCCATAGTGTTGGTTGGACAATATTGACATGTTCGTATCACATGAATGAACTTACCAAAAACGAGGAAACCCTGGTTGGCTTCTTTTTCTCAATGCATTCTAGTCGAATTTCCGCTGCTTTGTGCAAAATTTATTGAGTTTTGATGGCTCCCAGGACTTTGGAGATTGTTGATACCTTTGTATTGCGCCTCTCATTTATCAGAATCAACAATTTCAACTGTCCTGGCTGCTCGGTCCTAGCTAGGGCCACATCACAATCCCGCAAAACGGTTTACTCGGTTCAAGCTTGTAATACGGCTAACTTACGAGCTCTTGATACTTTCCAAATCTTCTAAGATGTCAACCTTCATTTACAAACAACTACTTGAGTTCAGTCGATGCTCTTTCCCACGCTTGTGTTACTCGTTGCAGAAAGGTGGACAGGTGATTTCAGAAAGGTAGACAGGTGAAGGACGAAGCGAGAGGGGAATTAATGCTTTGCCCTGGTCCTTCAGGCCGTCTTGGCGTTCTTTGCATTGTGTGGTCTTCTCTTTTTTCGATTGCTGCAAAGTCATGCAGCGGTGGCCTCCAAATAGTTATTCTTCTTGCGTTGCTTGTCGCCTTCCGGAAGTGCATCTTTTGTTTGTGTGCAAGTTCGTGGCTTCTCGCTGCTGCGATTCGAGGACGCTCGCCGCCAACGAGAGCTGTCTTTCGCAGTGGGGGAAGAATCCATGGCGTCGCGCGCGCGCCATGCTGGAGCCTGAAGCCGCGACAACGCTTTGGAGAATGCCAAGGTTTGATTGGTTGGCCAAGCAGAATCCTCGCATTGTACCTTAAGGTCCTTGCCACATTACTCTGTCGACCGGTTTAGGGTTGAATAGGAGCCTGGGCGAAGGTCTCCGAGCAAGCTCATGCAAGGCTGTGCCCCTGCTGGCAAGGGCCTCTTGTGGTTGAGGCTGTCGACCCTGGGCCATGGGGTTTGTGGGGGCCGCAATTGTGCTCTCTCTCACGTGGAGAGAAGCCTGTAGGCGTTTCGACCACTATGCCCTGTTGCTCTACTAGTCACATTTCTTGTTGGAGGCTTTTGACACTATAAAACATGAAGCATAGCTTAAGAGTTAGTACAGAGTTTTCGAGTCCCTGCCTGAAGTGATGAGCACGTGGGGGCTCCAGGCCAAGAGCTCGCAGGCTCCGCGCCTTCTGACGGAGGAGCTCCGGGTCCTCGTTGTCCTGAACTGTCTGGCTTTGGCAACACTTCGTGGAGGCCAAAGTTCTGCTGCTGTTTGTCTAACTAGGAGGAAACCGTCGTGTCTTCGACCCCCCCCTCCCTAAAACCAGGATTTCCTTGGAATCATACTAAAGAAGGGGCCTAGCGAATAAGGGGACTGCATCACTCCTCTCGGGTCTTGCCTTTCGAGTCGGGCCAACTAAGCTGTTTCTACCCGCAGCTTACTGCTGGTGGCTGAGGCAAAGTGCCGCTTCGGGCCTCAAGACATGCAGATTGCTCGCGTATCCTCGTTTAAGTGTCTAGTCGGAGTGGGATGGCATGCGGGCGGGCTTGTCACAATGACTGGTGGTCGTCATGCAAATATGTGCCGATATGCCATCGCCGATGAGCATCTCAGAATCTCAGCGAGCAGCCTCCTCCCGAAATAACGCCCTGAAAGCTTGAACACCCACGTGGCGCCTGTGACACCAAATAGAAGCGGTTGGCTTGCCAACGGGAGTGTGCAAAATCCTGTGCCAAGGCAGCACATGTCATGCCACTGAACCATGCAAGTGCTGCAAGTGGAGTGTGGAGCTCGACAGTCTCTGAATGCTAATAAGTCCTCGCGGTACACCCCACCCATGGCTGGCTTGGTCACCGCCACGTAAATGAGATGCCGGCTAAGCAAACCCTTTTCTAGGAAGCCAAACTGCTGCCGGCAAGCAAAAGGTAGCGCTGTGCGCAGCAACTGGCTAGTCAGACAGCTAGGTTGCTGACAGTTATGACTGCTACATTTCTACATTGGCATCGCTCAAGTTCCACTACGAGTCGCCGTCTGCTTCGGCATCGATGATGGCCTTGGTCGATGTGTTGAAGAGGTGTCACGGATAAGTTCTGCTAGCAGCATGAGCTTGCTTCGATGCATGAGCTAGCTGGAAAGCATGAAATAAATGTCCATCGAACTTCGCCACTTGCTTGCCAGTGGCGTCGAAGAGAATGCCGGCAGAGCAGCACTATCAGCCGTTACGACCTCAATCCGCAAGAAGACGGAACGACAGGAGAGTGCCATTTCTAGTCCCCAAACACAAAGGCTCAGCAAGGAGCAGCGAAGTATGACTTGAAGCGCTTCAAGATCACCTTCTCGCCATCCAGAGGCATCGCCGACCTGAGCTCTTTGCACTGCAAACAGGGAAAAGCTGAGGCGATCTCCAGCAGCCGAGATACATGTTGCCTTCTTGTGGATCGTAAGCAAAAACTGCATCTGCTTTCGCCACAAGCAATGCCTAAGCTCGGCTTGCTGGGTTCTCTCGCTGCCTTCCTTATCCTAGCTTTCCGGCCAAAGAAATTACCTCATTGTGCCATCTCTTCCTTCTGATTATCCTAGTCCAATACGGGTGCCGTCATGCCCAGATGCATTCATTCCGGGGAATATGCAAGTGCAGCCGGCCGCAGCACCCCCAGTCGAATCTGCATTCAACAGCCGAAGCTCCTTGACAGGTGCGCCCAAAAAAGCCATCGGAATCCATGCGAACTGCAAGAACCCTCTTCAAGTCAATTGCTTCTTCTCTACCGGAAACTACCGAAAATCAAACTCATGTGCACCTCCTGTCGATGCTGGCGCTTGGCATTAGCTTTACAAATCATGGATGCCTGATGATGCCCGTCCTGATTGCCACCATTTTGATCGCAAACTTGCCAGGAGCAAACGGCATTCGAGGTGCAGGCAAAGAGCACGACACGGCTCCCCTGCGTTTGAGGAGAGTCTGCTGCAAATAGCGTTCCAAGAAGCAGATGGGGCGACTACTCGAGGAAACATGAGTGGCGTGCTTCGGCTGGGACATGATACAATGACGTGCTTCGGCGCTTGCATGGCGTGCCTGCTCCAAAAACTCCAGGGACGTCACCTAAAGGCACCGACAGGGAGAATTTACTCGGCTCTGTGGGACTCGAGCCAAAGGAGCCCTTCTAAGCTCTCACAGACCAAGCCTCCTGGCCGCCTTGCAGGGACTCCTGGTGTGAACGTTTGCCCGAAAAGAGCATGTTAAGCAGGATCATTCGAGAACAGAAGCGGCGACCAGGACTCCAGTAGCATTCAAACAAGCATACAGATTTGCGGGGGAGGGGGGGGGGGCGGGGTGGCCACCACTAGGAACATGAACGCCTGCCCGAGGCTAAAGCACAAGCCAGAGCAACTGGAGCCCTTCGACCGAACATTCCTGAAAGGATACCGTGGATGTTGGGGTCTTGTGGTAGCATTGACAGCTGAAGTCTATGTCGATAGTGCGCCCATGCTCTGCCTCAACTGCATTGAGTGTCACAGGCGTCTGCTTTTCTTGGAGAAGGTCCTGGCGAACGACAGGTCGCCATGCTGTGCAGACCATCAGCGCAAACCCCCACAAGCTCATCCACGTCATGGACTAAATCCCCGAAGGTGTCTATGATTCAGGATGCGATAGCGTCGGGGTCTTCAACTGCCCATCCGCATGGCAGGCTCTTTCCCGCAAATTTAAAGCTTCAGATTGGCTTCGTTTGCAGAATGTCACGAAGCTTCAAGATTAGCCCTGAACTGAATCTCGAATTCTCTAGCGTCAGCAGGAGCCTGGGCCCGAAAGAGTTGCACCGTGCCGTTCTTACAGCCAACGGCAACCAAGCCTGAGCGCTTTACCCACTGGGAAGGTTTTGCACTCATGCTACCAATGTCAAGACTTTGATGTGAGGCCATAAAACAACGACGAGGATGAGTGTAGTCAATTCTGCAAAACACCGGCAAATTTGCAGCTGATCTGGATATGTCGCCCGCAGGGAACTCGAGGCTTCCGTCGATTGTGACCAGGGGCCGAGCCAAACTTATTGGTGGCCGCGCCGAATGCAGCCATGCATGTCACCTCCGATCCATGGCAGCCACAGACTACACGTCACTGATTTCATGATCACGAAGTCGCCGGCCTGCCCTTCAGGACCTCGCTGGCCGAAGACCCGGTGCCTCCACCAGTGGCGGGGCTTATTCTTGACTTGCGACTAGGCAACGACTCAGTTTTGCAGGACAGCTTATCGCTTCTGCTGAACTGAACCAACTGACGTTGCTGTGCTGACTTGGCGACGGGCGCTGCGAGGAACGAGAGGTTGGCTTGCTGCACGTGGTAGATCTGCATTGCAGATGATCATCCCGCTTCAACCCCTCGGACCTTGGATTTCGCCTGTTCTTGAACCTAACCCAATCAATCGCTGGGATGCGACAATAATACGGTAATCGGCGGCAACGGATGTTGTACTTCGGGTTATGGGAACCGAGGGATTGCACCGGAGCTAAGTAAGACCGACTTTGCAAATGTAAAGAGCTTCGATATGCAGGAACTACTACGACAACTACAATGACAACAGCCACCACCACCACTACGACGACGACTACTACTGTTACTGCTCCTGCTGCTGACGACGACTACTGCTACTGCTACTGCTACTGCTACTGCTACTGCCACTGCCACTGCCACTGCCACTGCCACTGCCACTGCCACTGCCACTGCCACTGCCACTGCCACTGCCACTGCCACTGCTACTGCTGCTGCTGCTGCTGCTGCTGCTGCTGCTGCTGCTACATACGACTATTACTGCGACTACGACTACGACTAAAACTTCTGTATGTAAGAAGTTATGGTGAGCTCTGACATCCTCCACGTGTGACATTACTCTTCTGTAACAGTCAGTGCGCAAATTGCACGCCCGCCATTCCTTGTACTTGGCCACACTGGCTGGACTGGCTGCAGACAAACCACCTCAAACATCTTTGAATGGCATGTGAACTCAGCAAGGGCAAAGCAAATCTTGAAACTGCACTGCACTGGCACTACATGTGTGAGATGATGAGAAAGCAGCTGCGAATCACGATTGGCTGCCGTAAGTCACTGCAGTGGCCTGCGCTGGTGCCCTGATCGCAGCCGGCAGCAAGCAAAAGTTGTCCGTCTCGGCAAACCTTGTTCAAATGCACATGAAGAAACTTAGCAGCTGGAAGCCACAAAAGCTGAATTCATTGCACTGGGGAGGCCTCCGTGCCCTGTGCGCTCTTATGCAATGTAACATGTTCGCAGATGGCGACCGGATTCCACCAAAGAATGCATCATAAATCTGTAAGCCCAGAACTCCCCGAAACTGATGTCGGGTAGCTCTGCGTGGTGCGAATGCATGCATGGTCATGTACAGAGTATATACGATTGGTGTACGGCAGAATCTATGAGGAACCCGTGGCAAAGGTCTACTTCTTCATGTTTCTTCACTGTGCTCCACGACCATCGGTCGTTCATCTTTAAAATAGAATAGCCCGCGATACGGTACCCGTTCGCGAGCCGAACTCTTGACACGAGATGCAGCGGCTCCGATAGGTCATCTGCCTGTTGGCGAGGTGCTATTCGACAGCTCGCGACTGGGCAAATTGCTCCGCGCTGTACAGGACTGCATCATCGAGCGGCATTCCGGTGGCAGACCACACCGGATTCCTGTATCCAAAGGTGAGTCGACCCTTGGACACTTCAACGTAAGAGGCAGTGAACTTCTGGCAGCTCATGCCATCATTGCGTGTCACGAACGGGAGCATTCTGCTGTAATGCTCCAAAGCATTAGCAAAGAAATGTATTCTGGGCACTTTGGCCCGTATGTTGTCGGCGCCGCATCTGCGAAATTTCTGAGAAAGCGTATGCAACAGCAGGAAGATAGCTCACAGATCAGGAACGCGCAGACTCCTGCTGGGACTCGGCAAACTCCTGGTGGGGCTGTCGGGGTGAGGCTCGGCATCGCGGGGTGAGTTCTCACCTGCGCAGCCACAAGCTCTGGTCTCAGCAAGTGAGAATAACAAGCAAGATCAAGCAAGACCCGCCCTGCTTCCCGGGCACTTTCCGGACTCAAGGAGAACGGACTTCGACCAGAAAGACCACTGGCACCGCTGCTGGAATGCCCACCCTTTCGCCTCACGGAGAAGGATAAAAGAATGCTCGATGCTCAGGACAACTCAAACGACATGACGGCACCGCTCGGACGTCCCATGCCTTTCCGTCTGCCGGAGTTTCAAGAGCATTTGCTCCAAGCGTTCAAACCCGTCCTGCACGCATCTTCATGTATCTGTGGCTCTGAACCTGAAGGCAGTACGCCCTGAAAACGAAATCATCGGTCTGGCCCACTTTTTCATCGGTGTCCTTGTGCTCCTTGGGCTCGGGCCACGGAGTGTCTGGAGAAGTGGAGCCGCTGAAACGCTGGACTGAGTCCTCCATCCAGCTCCAAGCCCCTTTGAAGTCTAAGTCCGGGCTTAGTTAGTCACTAACCGCTAGTCTCTGTAGGAGCTGGCTATAACCTTAAATTCTTCGATTGCGGCGCAGTCCTGAATGACCAGATGCGCTTTTGCCGGCTCGAGGACCTGGAGACCCCCGGCGGGGCCTCGATCGCCTTCGCTGAACTCCAAGGGCTCCTCCAAGTGCAGCGTCTCCAAAAAAGCAGACCAGCGCCTGCTAAAGGGGATAGAAAAAAACCGGAGCTTTTGTGATCGGAAGAATTGGAATATGTTTTTGCTATTGGGGGGCAGTGAGGAAAGGCTTCCACGATGAGAAACGAACGGCTCAACGCAGCGCAGAGCCTTCTTGGGATTCTATCTGCCATCTC